TTTATTTCGACTAGAAGCTTGTCGTCCATGATTATGTAGGAAATTTTCAAGTGAATTAAAGTTAATAACCTTTTTCTTGATATCATATCGTCAAAATAGAAAAGAATAGATCAATAATTTATGAACTTTGATATTCATACCAATCAAAGTATTGCTTTTTAAAACTATTTTAAAGAAAATGTGCGAAACAACTTGCGTTCATATATAGGATTCATAAAAGTATTGTATCCCCAATTAAGGGGATGTAATTTAGCAAGTTACCCAACGTAAGTATTAATAACAGATTTCATGAAACTCATACAAAAATAATTTTAATATTACTTTATGAATCCCCACTAATCAAAGTATACTAATCTTCCAATATAGTTGACGCTATTAATTATATTATCTACGTAATAACATGAGTTATAGCTAAAACTTTTTATTGGATTGTCGGTCCAATTTTCCATTAAGACGAGTTAGTTGTTACATACAAAAAAGAATTGCAAATAAAAAGTATTGTTTGAATTGGCTTGTTCAGATACTTTTAAGCAGTTTGTTTTTTTAAGTAAGAGTAAAATAAAAATAAAAATAAAAAAGGTACTTTCAAACACTTGGTTTTTAAGCAAAAAATCATAAATTAAAAGTTTTAACTTATGACTTGACTTTTGTCTTATAAATCATAAGTTATAAGTCTATCCAAATAGACCCTCTCTCAAAACCTTGTGGTAATTTCAGATATGATAAAAAACCATTAGGTGATTTCTTTTCATTTGTTTATACATATTGGCTACTGGTGATAAAAACTAAAAAGTGACAAATATTAAATTAGTCAGAGTATATACAAAATTGACCCGAATACCACAGTCACCAAACCAACAAAAGATTCGTAATAATTTATATTAAATTATTTAAGAGTGAATATTACTAGCCCTAACGGAACTTTATAGTTTTCAATACCTAACATTAGAATTCTAACACATAACAAATATAAACTAAATTTAAAAAAGAATGCACAGAATGAATTGACCAAATATTCTGTCTATAAATGATATATCAAGGGAATATCACCTATATTTAAGACTATATATTACATTCAATACATCTAAAATTTGAAAATTACTAATATAATTAGTTTAATTATTAGTCATAACAAATTCGTAGTAATTTAATTTTTTATTTGCAATTAAGGTATAAATTATTATGACTTTGTTATGACTAGTAATTAAATTATTACATTAGTCATTACTGATGGTAGATTTATGAAATATAATATAATAATGTGTAAATTACATAAATCTCATAGTTTTAATATGAAATTATAATCTATCCCTAATAAGTTTCTAATTACATTAATCCCTTAAAAATAAAAAAAACTGGATACAATAATTGAAGCTCGGATACATTAAAAACTAGCTCTGATACATAATATGTAGCTCAAATACATTAAATACTGGCTTGAATACATTAATATGTAGCTCGGATACATTAAAAATTAGCTCGGATATATTAAATACTGGCTCGGATACATTAAAAACTAGCTTGGATACATTAAATACTGGCTCGGATACATTAATATGCAACTCGGATACATTAAAAAAATAAGGGATTTTGAAGATTTTTAAAAGTAATAGGGGATAATGGAAATAAGTGAAACAAAAGGTGTGTATTTCTGTAATTTGTCCTATAATTAAATACACAAGTGGAATGATTCTTTTCTTGATATATTCTACCAGTTTCAAAAGTCTTTATTTATGGACAAGATAATTGTCAATTAATTATGTGCGTCCTTTTTTATTTTCTTTTTCTGTTTTCTTTTTTAATTCATTTTATACTTGTTATGTATTGTTAGAATTCTAATGTTATGTATTGAAAACTATTAAGTCCTATTAAATAAGTAATATTCGCTCTTAAATACACGGTGACATAGCCGAGCGGTAAGTCAAAGGACTGCAAATCCTTTTTTCCCAAGTTCAAATCCGGGTGGTGGAATTATACCGGATATATTGTTGTTGTAGGTAGTTTCAATTAGGTTAACAGTGTATAAAATTATGACTACTCATATATTATATGTGTACATACATTTATGGTTTTTTTTTGTTGTTGTTGAATTCATTAATTTATCATGGGGACCATGATGCTAGGCAAAGGTAAGAGGAGAGGGGAGAATCATGCAGAAGAGGTTGGCCATTAATTTCATGGAAATTAATGAGTGAATATTTGTGTGTGTATGTGTATTGGCACTATGTTGACTTGGCTAGATAAAGAAGGCTCTTCATCTTTTTCAATGGTGCCAAGAGAATATATCATCATTTGAATTTACTTTGGAAGGCACCTCTTCTTTTTTGACAAATAATGCATCACATATACTTTAATGCAATGACATTATCATATATGGTCCCTATTTGTATCTTGTCATACTTTTCATGATCAAACAAAGGGGTCAGTTTATCAACTCTATTAGCCTAACTGCCAGCCTTTGAAAATCATCTCTTCTTTGGGGTTTTTTCTCCAATCTTATATTCTTGGTTTATCTATATGCCCACCAAGTTGCACTCCCTAATATGAAAAAGAAATGTGAAAGAAGTTTAGGGAGGGGCAGCGTTTTCTGAGGGACTCTCAGCTCGAGTAAAGCATATAAAAACAAATATGAAAAGAAAATACAACAGTGAAGGTGTCAAGCAGAAAAAAATGAAGAAAAGAATAGTAGCAACAATGAATACTACGATAATTGAAACAAAGAAAACAATAGGTATAATAAAATTGAAGAATCACGCTCATCGCTGTAATTGATAGATCTATCATGATACATTACTATTTATATGTATCTTGTTTTAATTGATAAGTACTGTATTAAGATACATTAAACATGTAGTTGTTGCCAATAAGATGTTTGGCTTGTGATCGATACATTATACATGTAATTGTTTTCTATAGTATTTTCTTTTTTGTGATTAACACATTACACTGTGATAGTTAATATATATATGATACATAATAAAATTTGAAATTTGTTAAATTTGATATACATTATGTTAAACAAAAAGTATAACTATGTCTTAAAATATTACTCGGAGGATTGTGTTTGAACTATGAAACTTTTAGGGAAAACTCTGATGTATTCAGAGTGAGATATTTCAATGGTGTACATACATGTCCATTGAAAGAAAGGATATTCAACAAAGTTTAAGCTACGGTACCCTTTGTTAGTGGTGTCACTGCTTTGAAATTGGTTTATCATAAGAGAATTTACACTCCAAAGGACATAATTGACAATTTTAAAGCTGCATATGGAGTTGATATTATGAATCAAAAAAGCATGACGTGCTAAAGACCGTGCAATAGAGATGTTAAGGGGTAAATCAACAGATGGATATGAGACAGATGCCTAAATACATCCATATGATAAATACTGTGTATCCAAAACTCATGTGTAAGGATGCACAAGTCAGCCAAGAATGAGTTCATGTATCTGTTCATAGCATTGAGACCATTAATGAAGAGGTTAGAGAATAGGGATTTCGAACTTGAACATGCATCTTTCCTCAATTTCTCCTCTTGCAATTTCTTCATCATTAATGGATCGTTGCAGTGTTTAGATCTATTTTCATGAAAATCATCATTATCCTAATTAAAAACACAAGGGACGAGATCTTTCTTTTGTAAAACTAATTGGGTGTGACCAATACTAAACGATGGACGAAAATTCGTATGTATCAGATTTTTAAGATGAACATCAAAAAATTAAAACAATTTTGATAGAAAATCTAATACGGAAAGCAAAAAAATTATGAAGAAATTCTTCTACCATTTTAAAAACTTGAAATTGATGAAGAAATCTAGAATAATACGATTATTATTCAAAAATGATGAGTTGAAAGTAACCGCTAATACATGGTGTGATTTTAGGCGTGAATTTGAAGAGTTAAAGCGTGAAGTGGGAAGAAAAAGGATAATGTATCCAAGATTATGAGAGTGAGAAAATTTAAGTTGTGTATTTGGTAATTTTTTCATGGGTTGAAATAGAAATTGAGCTGGGTCATGACCCACCCAAGTTTACTATTAGCTTAAACGGGTTGGGCTAAAATGAGCTAAAATCGAGTTGGGTCATGACTCACCCAATTTTACCCGCTTAATCTCCATAATTTTAACATATTGTTATTTAACTTTTATATCCAAAATTTGAATTGCAACTCAAAAAATAACAAAAACCAATTACAAAGGGATAGAAAAATCGTAGAATATATAAAATAGATAGTAATTCATACCTTAAATATGAGAACATACATTACATTAATGCAAATAAAAAGTTTTATAACTGGTTAAAATTGGAGTTTTTTTTTTTTTTTTTGAGAAGGTAACATTTAAAAAATTGGAGATTAGATTAGACTCAATTGAAGATTCTTTAAAAATTGGTTGAGATTGAACCTAATTCAAATTATCTTGTGCCCGACCCATAAAATTCTGGTACAATTGAACAGGTTACCTATATTTGGGCTCATTTTGACAACCCTAGTACAAGTACCAATCTTCAAATATGATTCTCTAATGACTCTGTATCATACTTTAGCAAAATTTGACACCTTTGAACAGTTGGCTAGGATTCTCCTACAAACCCAAAAGTATGGACCAATCTTATTGGAAATCAAGATTCTTCTTTCCTCCTTGTAAAGCATCTAATATGCAAAGTCGTCCTTATATTCTTAAGTTTCATTCTTGTGGCATGCCTTTTTGGCCATTGAAATCCAAAATATCCAGAGAGATTGTAAATCCCAAGCTTGTATGTATCATAATAAAGTACAATTTTGAAAAAAATACTTATCTTTCAATTCACATCACAAGTGTATTCTTTTCTTTTCTTTTGTTAACAGTGAGCTAACAACTTATATCATGTATCCTTGATAACTGGGGAGACAATGATCATAGGACTGGGAATATATTACAGGGACAAAATACTTATCTTTCAATTCACATCACAAGTGTAAATAATGCATTGACTCCTTCCTTCATCCTTATTGAACCGGATCAAATCAATTTAGTCGTCCTGAACTGTGTTCGTGTCGTCTCTTCTCCTTGGATACCTCGAGCTAATCAATTGCAAGTTCTCAGCGAGCATGTAAAGGCAAAGAAAGCAGAGTCCAGCATAGGCAATGGTAACACCCGATGCTATCCTTCCAAGAGATGATAGAACATACAGAGCAGCCACAACCTTAAGGAACAAGCGCTTATCATGGCCAGTAGCAGCAACCCGTAGAACAGACTCAGCAGCACCGATAGTATTGGCGAGGCAGGCAAAAAACATGTTGGCAGCGTCCTGAGAGATCTGCCACTCAAGAGGATCCACAGGTACCGAGATGTTCATCTGGCGAAAGAGGAGTCCGAGAATGGCGAGGGAACAAAGGAGTACAATAAAGACGTCTGAGATGAGAGAGACGAGACTAGAATTCTGATAGGCACAGTGGTAGTAAACGAGGCAGCCACAAATGATGAGTATAAAGGGTTTACCTCCGATATCCGTCTTCCTAGGGTTTATTGTTCTTTTTGTGGACACGCTAGCATTCAATTCCATTGCACGCCTACTTTAAAGTGAAGCGAATTCGTCCTTTGCCAAGCCGATAATAGCTTGAGCATGGAACTTTACGATGGCAGATCAGCTAATCAAGTCCTTAACAAGCATTCATTCCTCGACTTAACAAGTAACAGATCATCCCCACATGGAGTCTGCCTAGTGCAGACGCTTCCTTATGTCTCAATTATAGTTCGCAACCCAGAAAGCTAGGTGGACAACTTGTTGGAATGGTCAATCCAGGGCCCTTCTTCTCTTATGCTTCAAAATCCGCAGGCTGTAATATATATTCAAAATTCTAAATCAGTGGGCTGTAACTACAATTATACTAAAAACTCTATGTGCTCAATATATTTGGAAAGTTTCAATTGCATTTCTACCTTTACCACATACATTTCTATTGGTAAATGATGCAATAAAGAACTTCTAGTCTTCACTATTTTCTATGATCACTTTTATCCTTAGTTGCACGGACTCTTCACTTTTGATGCCGCACCCGTGTTGGATTCTCCAAAAATACACTACTTTTAGCGAATCTGACACGCACCTGTTGACATTTTTAAAGAGTCCGAGTAACATAGCTTTTATCAGCATTTTTCTTCTTTAAGTTACATCTAACAAGTAACAATCATTGGGTCTTAGGGAAAAAAACAAACAAAATTCAAGTAATAAGTAAAATATCATTGTGCCTAGTTCAAACATTTGATTTTCAGCAACTCCAAAACAGCAAGTCGTGATTCAATTTCAAGCTATGTTGCTTGTACTCTTTGAAAATATCGACATGCCTAACAGACTATTCAAAAGTAGTGCATTTTTTGAAGAATCCAGCACGAGTGCAGCATCATTTTTAGATAGTCGGAGCAACAGAGATTTCTGAACAGTAGTTACCTATGTTTCTTAACTTCATAGACTAAACAGCTGTTCACAAAATGAACTTAAAAATTAAAGTTTATTGGAATAAAGCTTATACTACTTTTTGAATCCTTACATATCAAATCAAAAAAAGTAAATAGAAAAAGAGATACTATTAGGTTTTTGCATTCCTGTTTCTGAAGTTTGAATATCCAATTACTTAACTGAAACTTTAGGAGAATTCATTACTGTATATATAAATGAAAAACAACCATAAATTGGATTAACAATAAATTAAACAAAAACCGCATATTTAAAACATTCAATTTCCCGATCATTTTCCAATCAAAATACGCAATAGTACCAAAAATATACATACCAATGGAGACGGAGACGGAGACGGCGGCGTCTACGGCGGCGGCCGTAGAAGAATTGTGAAGTTCGCTGGCCGGAAAATATGAATCGCGGCGACCGTAGAGAAACGGGATCAGTGATGAAGGGGTTAGGGATTGCGGGGTTGATTTGGGGAATCTAAAACTTAACTTTTGTGCTTTTCTTTTTTTCCATTTAAAACTACTACTAGGTAATGTTGCCCGTGCTATGCACGGGCACGGGACTAATAATATAAATGGTATGTTTTGGGGCTAATAACGGAGATTTTGAAGCGATTGTTTGTGTGGATAAAGGAATAAGTTTTTTTATCACAAACTTGTACTTTATTTGATGCTATTCAAGGCACAATAAGACTATCCACATACAACATTTTTGAAATATTTTATGTTGTCAATTATCATGATTTATAGTATTTTTACGATAGATTCACTTAAAGAATGAGTGGAATTTTTTCTATTTTTTTTCAAAACATATTTTATGTTGTCAATTATCATGATTTATAATATTTTTACGCATTTTTTAAATATAAAAACCCAAAAAAAAATAAGACAAATAAATTAAAATGGACCCAATATATGTTATTTTTGTTGTCTCAATTTATGTCACACAAATAAAATTTGGAGAGTCATCCAAATTTTAATTTTTTTTAAAAATGTTTTAAGTTATTAATTATTGTGATTTATAATATTTTGATGTAACTTTCAAATAACCAACATTACTGGTCATTTTGTCTTAATTTATGTGATATGGATAAAAATACAAAATTAACCCTTTTAAAATGTCTTTCAGATATTTTAAGTTGTTAATTATTATTATTTATAATACTTTTTTGGTAATTTTAAAATGATATGTGTTATTTTTTCTGTCCTAATATATGTGAGCCTGAAAGAATTCTGAGAGTGAACCAATTTTATTATATAGCTTTTAAATATTTTAAATTGGTAATTATTCTAATTTTTAATGTTTTTTTAAGTCATTTGTAAATGATATATGTTGCTTCCTTTGTCCCATTTTATATAGTATAAATAAAATTCCCGAAACCAACTAAATTTTTAATATATTTTTTAAAATATTTTAAATTATTAATTATTGCGATTTATAATATTAAAAAAAAAAGTACAAAACTTGTATCAGCCTAAAAAATGACCACGATAATTCGAAGCCTACAGAAAGCAATATGGTTGTACGTAATTTTTAAATACTTAATATATATTACTCCACTTGTCTCAATATATGTAGCATTGATAAAATTTCAAGATTCAATCAAATGTTGTTAATTGTTAACATTTATAATACTTTTTACGTAGTTTTCAATAATTTCACATTAAACAATACATATTACTACTTTTGTCTCATTTTATGTGACATTGATAGATTAATTTTAAGAAGCAGTCAATTTATTTTTTCTGTTTTTTTAATAAATATTTTAAGTGGTCAAAATCACGATTTATTGTATTTTATACATAATTTTTAACGATAGATTAATTTCAAGAATTAATCGAATTTTTTTATATGTATTTATTTTTGAAATATTTTATGTTGTCAATTATCACGATTTATAGTATTTTTACGCAATTTTTAAATATAAAAAAAATTAAGACAAATAAATTAAAATGGGCGCAATATATGTTATTTTTGTTGTCTCAATTTATGTGACACAAATGAAATTTGAAGAGTCATCCAAATTTGCATTTATTAAAAAAATGTTCTAAGTTATTAATTATTGTGATTTATAATATTTTTATGTAACTTTCAAATAACTTACATTGCTGGTCACTTTGTCCTAATATATGTGATATGGATAAACTTACAAAATTAACCCTTTTAAAATGTCTTTCAGATATTTTAAGTTGTTAATTATTATTATTTATAATACTTTTTTGGTAATTTTGAAATGATATATGTTATTTTTTTTGTCCTAATATATGTGACCCGGACAGAATTTTGAGAGTCAACCTATTTTATTATATATCTTTTAAATATTAAATATTTTAAGTCATTTGTAAATGATTTATTATATTATATATATATATATATTATATTTATTTCTACTATATAATAAAAGGGGTTTTATTATGATATTATATAATAGTAGAATATATATTATATAAACTCCCTTTTATTATACAGTAGAAATTACAATTACAAAATTAACCCTTTTAAAATGTCTTTAAGATATTTTAAGTTGTTAATTATTATTATTTATAATACTTTTTTGGTAATTTTAAAATGATATATGTTATTTTTTCTGTCTCAATATATGTGACCCGGATGGAATTTGAGAGTGAACCTATTTTATTATATATCTTTTAAATATGAAATATTTTAAGTCATTTGTAAATGATTTATTATATTATATTATTATATATTATATAAACTCCCTTATAGTAGAGAAATAAATATATATTATATAGTAGAAAAAATGATTTATTATATTATATATTATATATTATATAGGGAGTTTATAATTGGACATCACAATGTCCCATCATAAACTCCCTCTTATATAATAAGAGAATATAATACTTTTTTGGTAATTTTAAAATGATATATGTTATTTTTTCTGTCCCAATATATGTGACCCGGATAGAATTTTGAGAGTGAACCTATTTTATTATATATCCTTTAAATATGAAATATTTTAAGTCATTTGTAAATGATTTATTATATTATATTATTATATATTTATAAACTCCCTTATAGTAGAGAAATAAATATATATTATATAGTAGAAAAAATGATTTATTATATTATATATTATATATTATATAGGGAGTTTATGATTGGACATCACAATGTCCCATCATAAACTCCCTCTTATATAATAAGAGAATACGTGCCCGCGCGTTGCGGAGATGATTTTAAATGTAATAATTTTATAATTAAAAATAACTAATAAAATATATTATGCACTTAATAATATATTTAATTTATTATTACAATAATAATAAAATATATTATGTACTTAATAATATATTTATTGTATTAAAATATTACATAGCTTTTAATGTGTGTGTGTGTATATATATATAAAATTGACATAAATGTAAAAATAATCATAATTAATACAACCGCCATATTAGATTTACTCAATGTATGTATTGGATATATTAACTTTTAATTTAATTGTATCAGAAAACATACAAATGAAAATGAGTGGTTGTTGATTTGAACTTTATTTGCTAAACTATATTATGTATAATTATAGATATATCGCAAATTTCAACTTAATTTAATGTTGTTATATAATATTGTGAATAGTCTTAAATTTGCAAAATGACTTATAATTGTGATATTGTTTAAAGTAATATTATGATAAACATAATGTATTGCCTTCTATGTTTATGATAGTGATAGGTTTATTATTTTATAATTTTTGTTATGATAATTTTTCATTTATCTTGTGCTAAGGTTGAAAATTTATAAAATAATAATAATAATAATAATAATAATAATAAGAGATATGAATTAATATAGTGAACAAAATTGTTAAAATTTCACCTTTCGAATTCGACAACATAAACACGAAAAAATATAAAGATTAGCACTTGAATTCAAAAAAATTAAGCACAACAATTATATATATAAACTGTGCATCCGTGTTTCTAGGATAGTGAAGACACGAGGATAAACTTAAAAGGGAAGTGCTAAACTGTATTTTCAAGTAAATTAAACAAATTGTTTTGTTAGTGTATTTTCTTAAATGAATAATATTAATTTAAAAGTTTACAAAAATTTAAAATTTTAATTCAAGTTAAAAGAAATTTATTGTTTTTTATTTATTTTACATGTTTTATTATTGAATTATGGATCTATTGTTCTTCAAATGTGTAATGTTGTTTGTTAAATTATTTTCATTCTTCGTATCATCATCTTTTTATGGGGCGAATATGTAGATTATTTAATTGCAAGTCGAAAAACATTTGTTTACAAATATAAAAGTGATTTATATTTTTGATTTAGTTTAAAAGATCAACTGGTAAAACAAATATTTAACTACTTAAAGAATTGTGTTTAATTGATGGTTAAAGGAGAGGTATACAATCGAATTAAATTTTTCCGCATCTATCTTTATTTGAGAATTATAGATAATGGTAGTGTTAAGAAGTTATTATTTAGATAGAAAATGATAACATAAAAAGGTATTAGAATAACTTCACTAAAATTATAAAAAAAAAAAATAACACAATCGTAAAAAAATATTAATCACACTAAAAATCATCAAAAATTACGAATGTAAATTAAAAAACATTGAAAACTCATTCAACGTAAAGAATTTAAGTACAAAACATGACAGAAACAAATCAAATTGAATGATATGAACTAAAAAAATCACAATAAAACATTATAGATCTAACAATATCAACCGTTGAAGAGGATTTTCACTTTGATAAATATTCTTCTTCTTCTTGGATTTTAACTTTTTTATTTGTAAATATATTCAATTTTCTTCTGCTAGCCATCAAATAATCTATATATTCACTCCATAAAAAATGAAGATAAGAAGAATGTAAATAATTCAACAAACAATATTACACATTTGAAGAAAAGTAGATCAATTAATTTTTAATTGACTTTAGTTATGTATATATAGATAATAGAGATAATGGATAGAGTAGTTTTAGGTAACCACTTTAAATTCAAATTCAAAAAATAACTACTTTACCATTTTTTCTAAAATAGTACTATTACGTGGTTGGTTACTTAATTTGAAAAAAAAAACATTTAAAATCATTTTTATTTTTTAAAAACTAAAGTAAATCTTCATTTAACAGATTTGTTTTAATATGTGGGTAGTTTTCCTATTTATTTATTTTAAAAAATGATTGTGCACAACGTTTTTTATTTCATTTTTTCTTTTCTACTATTTTAAGTTATAGAGAAATAATATTATTTTCTTAAAAATAATAATAATAATTATCCAAATTATTACTATATTGTTATATATTATTATTATTATTATTAAACAATTGCCTTATATATTTAAATCTTATCTCAAAATAAAAAAAATAAAAAAAATAAAAAACGGTTTTCGTGAAAATTGATTAGCAATTTAAATTCATTCTTATCCACATTATTATTATTATATTATATATTATATTATTATTACTTTTATTATTATTATTATTATTATTATTATTATTTAAAAATTTACCTTTCATT